ATACAGCTGGGAATTGTCGCCCTGGTTTGAATTGCTCTGTTATCTCCAGAGAGCGAGGAATCGGTAAAACTGAATCCACATCAGAAACAACGCGAAGGGCTCAAATTAACTCTGGAGTTACATTCGGAAATCAACAGCCTTCTCAGACAAGCATTCACTCATTTATTGGTGCCCCAAATATGTCATATACCAGGTGTGAGAGCAGGCACTGAAGACGCCAACAAGCTCCCAGTCTGGTAGGGCAGAGAGGCAGCTGAGTGATCATTTCACAGCACCAGAAGTGCCTGTCAAGCTTCAAGTCATCAAAGCCCAGCTCCAGTGCTTCTTCAGTGCCTCAGCCTCCAGTTCCAAGAGAACTGGTCATTCCCTCTGCCTGTTCTCCAGGTGTACCCTCCCTAGTCCCAACGCTTTCATAGTTCTAGACATCTCCATTGCTTCTGCAGCTCCTGCAGTGCACAGTGCTGTGCTGTAGAGGGACAGAGTGCATGCTTATGGCCCTGAACTTAGTGGTAAAGACCAAATGGGGGAACCAGCAGTTAGCGTAATGGCTATGTCGCTGGACTCCCACATAGTCGACCGCAGTTCGCATCCCGGACCCGGTGGCTTAAAACTCACGCCAGGTGCGTGTGCGTGCGTGCCCAAGATTCCGAGAGGAGAATGGAGGAGAAGGGATTGCAGCATGACCATCCCCCCTGGGGGGTGATTTCTTGCTTTCTGTTTCTGTCTCTCTGTCTGTCTGGTGAGCACACACGCCCTATAGCAAAACCCTCTCCAAAAAAAAAAAAAAAAGACCAAATGGAAGACATACTCTTACCACTGTGGGTGTGAGTGTCAGTGGGTAGAGTCTGTTTCGTGCAAAATTCCATAACTTTCAAAAATGTAAATGCCGGGAACCAGCAGTTAGCGTAATGGCTATGTCGCTGGACTCCCACGTAGTCGGCTGCGGTTCGCGTCCCGGACCCGGTGGCTTAAAGCTCACGCCAGGCGCGTGTGCGGGCGTGCCCAAGATCCCGAGAGGAGAATGGAGGAGAAGGGATTGCGGCGCGACCATCCCCCCTGGGGGGTGATTTCTCGCTTTCTGTCTCTATGTCTCTCTCTGTCTGTCTGGCAAGCGCACGCGCCCGATAGCAAAAAAACCTCTCCAAAAAAAAAAAAAAAATGTACAGACCCATACTCTTAGACTTAGCAGTTTCAGTTCTAGAAATGTAGTCAATAGAAACATTTATTGACAGATATAAAAAAAAAAACAAGAATGCCCACCTAGCATTGTTTGTAACAGTTTTAAATGGAATAAAAAACAGAATATTCACGAACAGAGAAATAATTGATTCAATGGAATAATATTGAGCTATTTAATAAGTGTGATTTCAGCCAGTATATCCTGATATGAAAAGATAAGAGGGGGGAAAAATAAAATAAAGCAATATATGTATTGGAATTTAATTTGTAATTATAAAAGAATTTCAAGGAGTAGAACAAGAATAACTGTTTTAAATTTTTTAGTCTTTTGTTCTTAAAGAGATTTTTTGCCATAGGGCACATGAGCTCACCAGAGAGACAGAGAGACAAAAAGTTAGAAGCCACGCCCCAGAGTGGATGGCCACACTGCAATCCCTTCTCCATTCACCTCTAGGGATTCTGGGCACACATGCACAACGCACCTGGCATGAGTTTTTTAAGCCACCAGGTCCAGGACTTGAACCGTAGTCAATTACATGGGAGTCCAGTGAAGTAACCATGAAACCTTCTGCTGGTCCCAAAATTTTCAGTTTTTACCCTAGTTATTCTATATTTTTTACCATAGGAATTGCTTTTATAATGCTGTATATTTTATATAGATATGTACGTATGTAAACACATCCACTTAAATGCATGAGTATCCACGTAAGATAACCCTACCTTCTATATGTTTTATGAATACCTTCTTATTCAATCTTTCCAAAGAGTAGAGAAAAAAAATGAGAAATAATTAATAAAATTATATCTACGAACGTGAAAATAAGGAAATGATGAAAGGGCAAGTCATAAAATACAAATAAGTTAACATCCTGTTTTTGCTTAAGACTACCTTTTTAGGGCCCAGTCAGGTGATATGGTGGTTAAAGTGGCTGGAGCCCACATAACTGGCTGCACAGTTCAAGTCTTGGACCTGGCAGTTTGAAAAACACACCAGATACATGTGCATGCATACCCAAAATCCCAAGAGGAGAACGGAGGAGAAGGGATTGCAAAGTGGTCATTTCCCCCTGGAGGTGCTTTCTCACTTTCTCTCTCTCTCTTTCTGTCTCTCTCCAGCAAGTATGTGTCCTATGAAGAAACTAAGATAAACAAAAAACTGCCTTTTAAGAAAATGTGTGTTGGGCCGGCAGGTGGTGTGGTGATTAAGGGCGCTGGGCTCCCACGTGGCTGACTGTGGTTTGAGTCTTGGACCTAGCAGCTTGCTTTCTCGCTTTCCTTTTCTCTCTCTCTTTCTCACTCTGTCCCTCTCTGATCAAATTAAAATAAGTAAATAAATAAATAAATTTAAATAAAATCATTCTTTAAATAAATCAAAAAAAGAAAATGCATGCTGTGTTTAGAAAAAATTCAGGAGCAATAAATACTAACATATTAAAATAATTACTACATACAATGAAATTTAAAATAGAAACTTTCATTATTTCTTTTACCCTTCATACTTCTGTATTATTCCAATTTCTTATTAGTACCTGCTAATTTTATAATTAGATAATGACAGCAATGGAAATAAATGAATAAATACTACTCAACTCTTGACATTTTTCTTGGGCCTTTCTGCCTAAAAAAATATTGCAGGTTGGGGCCAGCAGTTGGTGTGGCGGTTGAGACACTGGACTCCCACATGGCTGACCAAGGTTCAAGTCCTGGACTTGGCAGCCTGTTCTCTCACTTTCCCTCTCTCTCTGTCTCTCTCTGGTGACTGTGTGTGCCCTGTAGCAAATTTTAAAATAGTAATACTAAATAAAATCAAATAAATAATTTTAAAATATATTGCAGAATAATGTGACTGTCAATGACAGGAGGAGTAGATGTTAGCAGATAGGCAAGTTGATAAACATGAGCTGAGGCCTTTATCACAGACAATAAGGTATGAATATATTTTATGCAAGTAAACTTTATTTTGTATGCATAAAAAAATGAGTGAGGATTCTTTACAATGTATACTTTTTTGTTGTTCAGTTTTGTTGTAGAGCACTTGCCAGAAAAAGGCAGAAAGAGAGGAAGAGTAAGAAATCAGCCCCCAGCGGAGATGGCAACACACGGGTCCGTTCTCCATTCTCCTCTTGGGATTTTGGACATGCATACACACGCGCCCGGTGGGATTTTCTTTGTCTTTCTTTCTTTCTTTCTTTTTTTTTTTTTTTCATTTTTTTTTGCTATAGGGCACATGTGCTCGCCAGAAAGAGAGAGAGAGACAGAAAGCAAGAAATCACCCCCCCCCCAGGGGCATGGCCAACCCCTTCTCCACCATTCTCCTCTCAGGATCTTGGGCATACACACACATGTGCCCGGCTTGAGTTTAAGCCATCGAGTCCGATACTCGAACTGTGATCAACTACATGGGAGTCCAGTGACGTGGCCATCACGCTAACTGCTGGTCCCCCGGGTGTGATTTTCAAGCCACTGGGTCCAGGACTTGAACTGTGCAGTTGGCCACCTGGGATCCAGTGCCTTAAACGTCACACCACCTGCTGGGCTGATAATGCATACTTTAGGCAGGAATCATCTTCAGTCTTCTGATCTCCTTCCTGTTGACACAGCCTAGACCCCTGGCCGTCCTCTGATGCCCTCTGCACTCTCCCACCTTCCGGCCTTGTGCTCCTCTCGCTCTAGGTAGCGTTTCACGTTTCTCTTCCTCGAGAAGTCTTGCGGTTATTTAAGGACCTCCTCACATATTATTTCTACTGTAACATTTTCCTGGATTGCCTCAGCTAAATATATCCATACCTATTATATTCTATTGGGTCGTCAGAAAGGTCATGACACATTTTTCTGTTTTTCTATGTAAAAATGAGTCATGACTTTTCCAACGACCCAATAACATTTATATTTATTATGATAAGCTTTTGTATTATAATGTTTTGATTTTTTGGATATTTGTTTGCTTTTGGTATGAGTCTGTATTTCCACTGGATTGTGAATCTCTAGAGATTAAAATATAGTTTAATTCATTCCAGTTTTGGCTTGGCACAGTTTTTTGTTTGTTTGTTTTGCTTTTGTTTGTTTGTTTGCTATAGGACACATGCACTCACCAGAGAAAGAGAGAGAGAAAGTGAGAAATTGTCTCTCAGGGAGTTAGCCATGCCACAATCCTTTCTCCTCTACTGTGCTCTGGGAAATTTGAGCATGGATACACATGTGCTTGACATGGTTTTTTGTTTTTGTTTTTTGCTTTGTTTTGTTTTCTTTTTAAAGAATTATTTTATTTAACTTTATTTATTTATTCATTTATTTTTAATTTGATCAGAGAAGAACAGAGTAAGAGAGAGATAAAGAGAGAGGGAAAGTGAGAAAGTAAGCTGCCAGGTCCAGGACTCAAACTTTGGCCAGCCTATAGTCCAGCACCCTTAACCACCACACCACCTGCTGTTTTTTAAGATGCCAAGTCCAGGGTTCAAACCATGCAGTTGGCTATGTGGGATCCAGCCACCTTAACCACCACAACACTGGCTGGATGTTGGCATAGGTTATTTTTCACACACCAGCTATTTGAGAGATGTTATATGAGATTAATAAAATGGGTTTAGGCAGGTCATTTCTCCCCAGCCATTCCCTACCCCAATAGCATGAAGGGTCACTCTCTGTAGGATCTTTTATTTTTTTTTTTCCATTTCTAAAACAAAACAAAACAAAAGCAAAAACGTACAAAGTGAGAAACTTATGTACAGATGTATTCTTTCTCTAACCATACAACTGTGTTCTGTAGGAAATGTCCTGAATTATACACTCCTACTTCTGTTTTTTTATTTTTCTTATCTAAGCCATTTAGAAATGACTCACTTTGAAACTCTTCCTGTGAAGACAGATAGTCGTCTAGAGGATGAGGTTGAATTTATCAGCAGAAGCAGAGAGAGAGAAGAAAAAAGGGAAGCTCAGCAAGTTTCCTAAACATACCCCATGACTTCATTGTGGCTAAGTGCGGGGACTACACAGGACCCGTGAGGACCTCCAGTCTGGTGCTGAAGTTTCAGCTTCTTGGTAAGAAAAGCCTAGAGCCACCTGACAGCTTGTGCCTAACCTGTTTTGCTCACTAGAGATTACAATTTGAGCATCATTAACCTCTATCCCATTCCTTCTCCAACTCTCCTTTCTTTTGTCTTAACCCCCTATCTACCCCACCTTTCCTAAATATTCCCCATTGCGTTTATTGTTGCTCTTAACATATTTATTCTGGCACTAATAGAGAATTTTTTAAAAGAATGCTGTATTTCATTTTATTTATTATCATTATTCATTTTAAACTTGAACAGAGAGAGGCAGAGAGAGCGGGTAAGTGAGAAAGCAGGCCACCAAGGTGCAGGACTTGAACTGTAGTTGACCATGTGGGAGTCCAGCACCCCAACCACCATGCCACCTGTCAGCCCCACTAATAGTGAATTTTTGTTTTATTTTTCCTGTCTTAAACTGGATATGTTTGTCCTCTAACCTTTGGTTCCAGTTACAAAACAAAACTTTGTACCCCCACTAGTTTTGTTTTTTGAATTGATCATCTATATCTGAAATTTTTTATTCCATTTTTTCTTTTCTTCTTCTAGTCTTTTGCTCCTTTCTCAATGGCATTGACACTATCATCCTATTATTAGTAATTGATTCTGGGATCTACTTTGCTTTTATCATTGAATTTCAGTTTCAGGGTTTTGTTTATTGTTTTTAATTACGGCTGACTGATTCAACATTGAAAACTAAAAAAAAAAATTTACTAATCATCTTTTTAAATACTCCAACTGTTTATTTACATGTGCAAGTGCAAAATTCTCAGTGATGACAGCTATAAAAAAGAAAAATAGGCACAGGTTTTATCCTGAAGTCCAGCTCATTCTAGCAGTAGAAATCTCAGACATGCAAACTTACTGTAAAACGAAGCAGTTTCATCCATCTCGTTGAGAGATGAACTTTTGATAACATTCTTTATGTTCAATATTAGTCCACCAAAGTGAGGAGTTTATCTGTGTTCTGGTCAACTGCGTGCTGGCAATAACTGAAGTGATAATGTGACACAGAGGGCACTTAGCACCTCGCCCCTCATTGTCACAGGGTGCTAACAACACATTTCAGTTTCCGTTCATGTAGACATGATCCTGTGAGATCTCATATTTTTGACCCAGAGATGTATTCTCAGTGAAGCACTTTAAAGCCTGGCATGCTTACAGCAGGTGAAATTCTGTGAGAATACAAATTTGAGTTCAAAGAGAAAAGGAAGAGGTAAAATTCCCAAGTGCTTAATAAGAGCTTGAGGTTGGTGGTTTTGTTTTATTTACTTTTCGTGCTTGTTTTGAATGAATGATTTTTCTTAGCATAGCAGCGGTTACAATGTGAATTTTCAGTACATGAGAATAACGTGGGTAATCAGCATATCCACCATCTCAACCGCCTTCTACGAATCTTAAATGTAGAGGCGTATTTCATGTATTCAAATGTGGAGGTGTATTTCATGTATTCAAATGCAGAGGCATATTTAATGTATTCAAATGTAGAGGCATATTTCATGTATTCAAATGTAGAGGTATATTTCAATGTATTCAAATGCAGAGGTATTTTGGTGTTTTCAACCAAAACAACTTGGAGAAACGTAAAAAAGTCATCTTGTTGTGAAAGACTTTTAAGCCTCGACTAACATATACTTCCATTTCGTGACAGGTTGTATGTGATCTGTAAAAGACAGCTTGTGCCACATAATTCCATGTCCTTGTGTTGGAATTTTACTCTTTTCAGCCCCTGTTACTTCAGTGTGTACTGCCCTCGGTTCCTTCCCTTCTAGGAGCAATCCCGTAGGTTTTTCAGTTCTGTGATTCTTTGTGGTAAGAGGAGCATTGGCCTAATAGACATTGGACCTAGGATCTGAGAACACCCTTATTGTGCTATGTGAAAGTCATCCAACTTACTGAGTTTCAGAGTCAAAATCTGCAAAATGGAAGTAGTCAGGAGAGATGAGTGCTTAATTTCCTTTCAGCGCTAGTTCTATGACTCTTCTCCCAGTATTTTATGGATCTGTGCAGGAATCTGTGTGTTGAAGTGGGACAGTGGATCAGGGTAGCTCCCATGTACGCAGGGTAGGAAGGGATTATGATAGGACTTGAATATTTGAGTAGACACAGCCATGGAAAGAAAAGGGAATCATTTCTTTCTTTTATTATTTTGTTGACTCAATATTTTAACTTCTGCTAATTGAATATGACTGCATTTGGTTAACTCAGCAAAACTACTTTGAAATCAGAAAAATATTTTGGGCCTCTGTCAAAAGAAATGTAAAATGGTATTTCATACAGAAAGAATGCGAAACTTATGACAAAGAGGAAGTTAGAAAGAACAGCATAGGAATTAAGGGAGCAGGCTGGGAAAGGATTACATGGCTATGAATTTGATTTTTTAATCGAATTGAAAAAGAAAAAAAAAGTCAGTTCCCAAAACAAGCATTCATCCATTCAAGTGATCTTTAGCCTTTACATCATATAAGTCACTGTACTAAATTCTGTGGAAGAAGCATTTATGAAAAAGACTTATTTGTACCATCATGAAATGGATGCCCAAATGAGAGCTATGACAGCCATGGTCATAATTATAATGCAGTCTAAAATATGTCACTACATAGAGAATATGAAAAAAGTTCCATATGCATGCGAAACTTAAGAGGCTAAAGAATTAACTTTTGATCAGAGAGAGACTATTTCAAGGAAAATATATTATTGAGTTTGATTTTGAAGAATGGGTAGAATTTCAACAGGTGGAGATTAAGGATGGAAGAAAGAAGCTCAGAGAAAGGCATAATTCCAGATAAAAGTAAACAACACTAGCTAAGAATAGAGAATGCCATTAACTTGAACTAGTAAATTGTTCAGGAAAGATAAAAGGTAGGGTATATTTACAGAAGTGTTCAAAATTAGAAGAAGATATTTCACAGAGGTCAAGAGAGGAGAGTTTTAGGAAGTCAACATATCAAAGGAGATAAACATTGTGGAGGATGAGGACAGAGAAAGATGTTTGGATTTATTTTTTAGAGGTAATCTTAATAGAGTGAGAGAAGAAGACGACAAATTAGGAAGCATTAGAAAGTGAGTGGTCGGAACACTAGACCCCCAAAAATATCCTTAGAGAGAAACTACATTAAATCAAGAGACTTAGGAGAAGTAATGCCCTGACGTGAAGTAGGACCCTCGATTGGATATCGTTGTGAACAAAACAACTGTTAAAGATATTCTGGGGACGGATGGAAAATAACTGGTTAAAGACTGGGTATCTGGGTGAGCCTGTGAGGTGGTGATTAAAGAGGCTAGATACCATGTGGCTGTCTGCATGGTTTGTGTCCTGGACTCAGTGGCATCTGTGCCCCTGTGCCCAAAATCCCAAGAGGAGAATGGAAGAGGAGATTGCAGCATAGCCATCCCCCAGGTAGTGATCTCCCTCTCTCTCTCTCTCTCTCTCATCTCCAGTAAGCACATGTGCCCTATAGCAAGCCTAAGGAAAATTTTTAAAAAGCTGAATATTCTTTAAGGTAAATCTTGCTGTGTAACGTTGAGACTGCTAATTTAAGAAAGAAAAAGATTTATAAAACAATATGCATTAACAGCCATTGCATTATTCACAATAGCACAAAGATGGAAACAATGCAAATGGCCATTGGCAGACAATTGACAAACAAAATACAGTATATACATTCAATGAAATCCTATTCAGCCTTAAAAAGAGGAATGTCTGACACCTGCCACATAACTTGGAGGAAACCTGAGGATATTATCCTAGGTATAATTAGCCAGACACCAAAAGACAAATATTGCTATGATTCCGTTTAGGTTGGGTTTCTGGAATAGTCAAATTCATAGAAACTGAAAGTAGAATGCAGTTAGTCAGGGACTGGGGGAAAAGGAAACAGAATTACTTTATGAGTACAGAGTTTCAGTGTTGTGAGACAAAAAGTTCTAGAAATTGGTTGCACAACAACATGAATATGGTAAACACTAGTGAACTGAATATTTTTAAATGATTAAGGGGAAGCCAGCACGTGGCATGGTGGTTGAGGGCAGTGGACTCCCACATGGCCAACCATGGTTCAAGTTCTAGACCTGGTGTCTTTCTGTCTCTCTCTCTCTCTCTGTCTCTCTCTGATCAAATAAAAACAAATAAATAAAATTAAGTAATTTATTTTTAAAAAATGGTTAAGAGGGGCTATCAGGGGATGTGATGGTTAAGGTGTTGGATTCTCACATCGCTGACCACAGTTCAAATCCCAGAACTGGAGGTTTGCTTTCTCACTTTATCTCTCTCTATCTCTCTCTGATCAACACATGTGCCCTGTAGCAAATTAAAAAATAATAATGTAATTAAATAATGTTTAAAAATATTTAAGATTATAAATTTTATGTTATAATACTTAATCACTATTTAAAATTTTTAATATGTGTATATGTATATGGATATATATGGAGAAAGATCCAGAGGATATAAGTTAAGAAATTAAAGTAGTAATCAATGGCTGGTGAGTATATGACATTTTAACATTATTTTTACTTATCTATATTTCCCAATCTTCTTCATGCATATTTTCTGCTTTTGTAATAAAAAAGCTATGTTTCCCAAGTTATATTCATAATATACAAATAGAAACAAAATGATGGGTGGTGAAGAAGTCAATGCAGAGATTCAACTTGAGAAATGTTTAGCCAAAGGAGAGGTTGTATCTAAGACCTGAGTGAGTCTAGAACACCTCTTTCTGTGAGGGAATGGATCGTCTGCCTTCAGAGAATTAGAAGATCTGCAAAGTTAAAATTTTGCATATCAGTATATGTAGGTGATGGAGCTCCCTAAAGCCCTCTCGTGCCACTGACTGAAGACCTAAGTCTAGAAGATTTTGTTTGCTCATTTGGCTTATTTGTTCATTTTCAAGTAGGTGACATGGGGTGAAGAAAGAACCTAGTGAAAAATGAAAGCTATCAATAGATAGTAGAAAAAGAAAGAGGACAAATTTACAGTGATACAAACTTTTAAAGGAGGTTATTATTTTGATACACAACTAAGTCAATACAATAGATTCTGAATGGTCCATCAAAGAACATTTTTTGCGTGTTGCAGTGTGAAGTCAAGGAATACAAACTTAAACAAGGCGAGAGCCTTTGGGCTTTGTAGTTCCACATCATTACAGGAGAAAAGCAAGTGGCATGGTGGTTGAGGGTACTGGACTCCCACATGGCCGACTGTGATTTGAGTCCTGGATCGGGATCATTACACGAGAAAGTTAGAATTCTAATACTTTTGGGGCCAGCAAGTGGCATGGTGGTTGAGGGTACTGGACTCCCACATGGCTGGTCAAATTAAAATATACAAATAAATAATAAAGTTAGATAAAATAATTCTTTTTAAAAAAGAATTCTAATATATTTCTTTTTTTAATTTGACCAGAGAGCAACAGAGAAAGAAAGAGAGAGGAGAGAGAAAGTGAGAAAGCAAGGTCCAGGACTTGAACCACAGTAGGCCATGTGGGAATCTAGCACCCTTAATCACCACGCCACCTGCTGGCCCCTAGTACTTCTTTTTAGTTTTTTCCATAGGGTGTATGTGCTCATTAGAGAGTGACAAAGACAGAGAAAGGGAACATGAGAAATCACCCCCAGCAGGCATGACCACGCAGCAGTCCCTTCTCTACCATTCTCTTCTTGGGACTTTGGGCCCAGGCACACACTCATCCAGCATGATTTTCACACCAGTAGGTCTGGAACTCTAATTGTGGTCGGCCATATGAGAACCCAACACCTTAACTACCACACCATCTGCTGGCCCCATACACATTTTGTTTTCATAAGATGCTGTTAACTTTCACATTTCTTTTCATCTTTTTTGCAGAACTTTAGCAATGGAGTCTTTCTCTACTGAGAACAATTCAACCGACCCGCTCTCAGAGCCTTTGGATAAACCTCAAGTAATTCTCTCCATGGTCATTCTCAGCCTCACGTTTGTGTTGGGGTTACCAGGCAATGGGCTGGTGCTGTGGGTGACAGGCCTAAAGATGCAGCGGACAGTGAACACAGTTTGGTTTCTCCATCTCACCCTGGCAGACTTTCTCTGCTGCCTCTCCTTACCCTTCTCCCTGGCTCACTTGGCCCTGCAGGGATTCTGGCCCTATGGCCCTTTCTTCTGCAAACTCATCCCTTCTGTCATTGTCCTCAACATGTTCGCCAGTGTCTTCCTGCTCACCGCCATTAGCCTGGACCGCTGTCTTCTGGTACTCAAGCCAGTCTGGTGCCAGAATCATCGCAGCGTGCGGACAGCCTTTGCTGTCTGTGGGTGTATCTGGCTGGTGGCTTTTGTGATGTGTGTACCTGTGTTCATGTACCGGGAAATGTCTGTTGAAGGCGACTACTATGTGTGTGACTACAATTATGGCCCCTCCAGTTCATATTATGAGGACTTCACCTCTGACCTGGATCTTCTGGAGAATGGGTCCCTCGACTACTCTGTTGAACAGCTGCCTGGAGAAATGGATAATAGGTTAGATCCTTCCTCTTCCCAAACAAATGATCATCCATGGACAGCCACCACTGTTCTCCAGCCTCAAACATTTCAAAGACCTTCTAGAGAGTCACTCCCTATGGATTCAGCTAGATTATCCAGTCAACACTTGTATTACAATTTATTTAAACCTACTGATATGGTCTCACCTACAGTCCCCAGTGGGTTTTCCATTGAAGATCGTGGAACTGGCCTATTGGCTACATCTGATGCTTTTCTCTCTGCTGATTTAGAGCTTTCCACAAGTGCTTATAGCAATTTCTTATATGAGTTTGAGCTACCACAAGATTTCCTGAATAATCATTTTGGCCAATTTACACATGATGATTGGGTGCCAACAGCCCTGGTAGCGATAACCATCACTAGGCTAGTGCTCGGTTTCCTGTTGCCCTGTGTCATCATGGTCATCTGTTACAGCCTCATTATCCTCCGAATGCGACAGGGCCGCTTCGCCAAGTCTCGGAACAAAACGTCTCGAGTGGCCATGGTGGTAGTGGCTGTCTTTCTTGTCTGCTGGGCTCCCTACCACATTTTTGGAGTCCTATTATTACTTATTGACCCGGGAACTCCCGTTGGGAAAGCTCTGGCGTCCTGGGACAATGTGTCCCTTGCTCTAGCATCCGCCAATAGTTGTATCAATCCCTTCCTGTACGCCTTCTTGGGGAAAGATTTTAGGAAAAAAGTAAGGCAGTCCATTCAGGGTCTTCTGGAAGCAGCCTTCAGTGAGGAGCTCACACATTCAAGCAGTTGTCCGCCAAACAAAGTCTTTTCTGAGAGAAACAGTATCAGCACAGCTGTGTGAAAATACGGAGCAGCCAGCTTCACCAGAGGATCTTGTGTATTTGCCTAGCGAATGTTTCTACCGGGTGAGGGATATAATAACAGGGGGCTTCTGAACTTGCTGAAGAATCAGTCCAGTCTTCAAGTGTGGTCCCAGACTATTGGCATCAGCATCACTCGGACATTTGTTAGATACAGTATACAAATTTTCAGGCCCCATCCCAGATTTGCTGAATTAGAATCTCTCAATGGTGGGACCCAGTGAGCGTTTTTAACAAATCCTCTTATTGCAAGCTAGCACAAACTTGAGAATCAATGTAAAAATTAATCCATTCCTATCCCAAACTGGGCCATGTGAGATCAATGAAAATCTATTTTGGTTTTAAATGTTTCCATCCTTGATTGTTTTTTTTCTTTAGCATTATCTATAATTCCTTTCAGATTCAACTTAAGACCATTTTTCCTCAGGCTGGCAGGTCACGTGGTACTACTGGACTCCCACATGGCTGTTCGTAGTTCGAGTCCCAGACCTGGAAACTTGCTTTCACACTTTCCCTCCCTCTCTTTCATTCTGTCCCTCTCTGGTCAAATTAAATTAAGTAAATAAATATTAAATAAAATAATTATTTTTTAAAAGACTATTTCTCCTTAGCCTACTTGAGTGAAGCATGGTCATTTATTTATGGTTCTCTTGTGACAGTGGTGTAAACGGTTTTAAATGAAAAGAAGGTGCAGAAAGAAAAGACCTATAAAAAGAAGCCATGACAGGGAACTAGCAGTTAGTGTAATGGCTATGTCGCTGGACTCCCACGTAGTCGACCGGGGTTCGCGTCCCGGACCCAGTGGCTTAAAACTCACGCCGGGCACGTGTGCGTGCGTGCCCAAGATCCCGAGAGGAGAATGGAGAAGGGATTGTGGCGTGACCATCCCCCCTGGGGGGTGATTTCTCACTTTCTGTCTCTATGTCTCTCTGTGTCTGTCT